CCGGTGATGAAGCACTGGACCATTCATCTGATGAGGACTACATTCCAGGTAAAGACAATTATTTACTATGGTCACCACTCCCCAATGTGGGTAATTTGACAGTAATGGTCAGGAAATTGTAAATGCGATAAAAAGGAGTTTTTGGCCCTGGCGATCATGGTTCACATTCTGCAACTGCAGACATAAGGGTCACACTGTGCGTGAGCTATTGCTGATACGATTCCTATGTATCGTATGTGTATTACGATACATCTGTCCGCACTCAACAGTGCATGAGTGCGGATTGGCCACTGGCACTGCAGTAACTCACGCAGTGTGTGACCGTTATGATCTGAATCTCTTCAAAATAGCAGCATTTTGCTATGTGGCAGCAGTTTTCTTCCACGATTTCAGAGGCCTACCCATGAATTGCTTTTTGATTCTTACCATTTGCAAGATCATGATGTTTTACCCCCATCCAAAGATTCAGTGTGACGAGCCTCAGGCCATGGCGCCTTCAGCGTATTTAATTAAGTGCTTCCTTTACCATCACGCAGCATCATCCGTCGTGAAACACTTAGTGGCAAAGTAGGTCAGTGGGGCCGGCGCCACTCCCTGGATCATTTGTTCGACCACTTTCTTAAGTTTACTAGGCCAAGGTCATCTGGTTGCACTGCTATTCTATTCGACAATCATGAACATTTGTTCCATGTTGTCATGATTACTACTAGGTGAGCACATGGTCCATGGACTATTTCACTTTCTTATTGTATCACCCAGGCAAAATGAACATTTCGAATTGGTACATGATCTCTAATTCCTGTTCTGATTTCTTTTCAGATGAGGAGATGGTTTCTGATTCAGAATCTGAATCACTCAGATGAGTCTCTACCAGATAGTACTTCAGAGAAGGAGGATGCCAACTTAGCAACCAGAAGTAAAATCAACAAAAAAAAATCATCAAAAGAGTGTAAGTTGAAAACCGTAATTTTTGGCAATTTCATAGTCACAGGTTAAGGTGATACAGGAGGAAAAAATCCAATGTTATGCGAATTTTTAAAGATAAATAGCCATTTTTTGTTATACATCCTAGGAACAAACAATACATTTTTGGAAAGTTTAGAACCTTAGTAATAGTATCCAAAAATTTGATCAGTTTTGCAAAAGGGGAAAGTATGAAGACATAACTACAGTGATTTTCCTGATCAAGGCACATTTTTGTGCATGTTTTGTGGTCATGAGTATAGGATGGTCCCTTTCAAAAATGGGCATGGTCTGATAACCAATAAGGCAGCCACATTGTATCTCCTCCCTGTTCCAATGGTATATAAATAAGTAGGGGCGGATCACATAATGACGAAAACGTTTTTCCTTCTCTACCACATAATAGTTCATTGCAAAATGATCCCAGATCATCAAAGAACAATCACATCCAGTTTTGTTCAAATCTGTCAGTAGCATATCCAATCAAGTAAAAAGCGCCCATTTCCAAGCGCATCCAAATCATGCTCTCATGCCCATTCGCCTCAGGTTTTGTGTCGTCATTGTTGATGTAACATCATCAGTCTCTGGAGTCACATCCAGCATTGACATGTCCAAGGGCCATTATTTTCGTTTGCTAAGATACCCTCTCACTTCTGTCTCATTGGCTTTTAGCTCTCAACAGAGTGAGCAAAGTCTTTATAGGACCATTATTGGACTTTAAGGATGGTGAAACAAAGGAAGTTCATCACTAAGATTTTCACCCTACGTAATCTAAGTGCAGAATATCCTGGAATAGTGGAAACATAATGGTTCAGAATTCTGCATGGGGTATTGACCATATTTTCCTGTGGTGCAGAAGTGCAGAATCCAGGTAGCCTATTCACCTTTTGGTGGGACATTTCTTTAAAGGGCTTAAAGATTTATTGATTTAGAAATGGTCCTCAGAACTGTTTTAAAAACATCGTTTTGAACAGGGATTGATGCCAGGCTTTTACTTACAGCTGCCAGTGAAAAGAAGTCCCCGGACAGTACCTCTGATTCGATCCTGGTGATGGAGTGCGACAACTCTGATAGCCGAAAGTATGACAAGTTGCACTACTGCCCATTTTGTTTGAAAGGCTTCAAGCTCAAGTTGACTCGTCACATGCTCTCAGTCCATAAGGAGGAGTCGGAAGTACAAAGATGTGAGATGATAAAAGATCAATCAGAACGGAATGCTCAGTTCGCATATCTCAGGAATCTTGGGAATTACCTTCACAACACTGATGTGATTCGCAATGGAAAAGGGACACTTGTTGTTGCTTATAGACCGCAAATCTCAACACCATACACTGACTATGTTCCATGTGAATATTGCCTGGCATTCTATGTCAAATCTGACTTGTGGAAGCATGTCCGAAGGTGTAATATGGCAACCAAAAAAGAGCCTCGCAAACATTCCCGTGTTGTTGAATCAGCCAGAATGCTGCTGCCGTCAGCACCAGGAGTTTCTGAGGGTGTGAAGGAAATTCTCTGTTCTTTGTCCCATGATGAAGTGTCAAGGGTGGTGAAAAGTGACCAGTTGATCCTTAAATTAGCAAACAAACTATACAAGAAACAAGGTCATGATAGGGACCAGTTTTCAGCAATGCGAAATACTCTTCGGGAAGTTGCGAGGCTGTTGATTAATTTGCGTATAGAAAGTGATCAACCCTCCGCTACACTTTCCAATTTCATTTGTACAACGAAGTTCGACCTGATTGTTATCTCTGCTTTGAATGTATCGGGGTTTAATCCAACTGACCATTCCATGAGGACACCATCGCTTGCATTGAAGATCGGACATTCTCTTAAAAAGTGTGCCAAGTTGATGAAAAGAGACGCTTTAAGTGCTGGTGACAAAACAGAAACCGAGAGGTGTCAAAACTTCATTGAAATGTATGAGGAAAACTGGACAGATGATGTATCCACTCATGCCTTGCGCCAACTTGGAGAATTGAAACGCAATAAGGTCAAGCTAATTCCACTAACTAGTGACTGTGCTCTGTTGACCAAGCATCTGAAAGATGTTGCCACAAAAGCACTTGCGAAACTCGAGGCTCTTGAAGATGTGAAGAACTCAAGTAAAAAGCGCCCATTTCCAAGCGCATCCAAATCATGCTCTCATGCCCATTCGCCTCAGGTTTTGTGTCGTCATTGTTGATGTAACATCATCAGTCTCTGGAGTCACATCCAGCATTGACATGTCCAAGGGCCATTATTTTCGTTTGCTAAGATACCCTCTCACTTCTGTCTCATTGGCTTTTAGCTCTCAACAGAGTGAGCAAAGTCTTTATAGGACCATTATTGGACTTTAAGGATGGTGAAACAAAGGAAGTTCATCACTAAGATTTTCACCCTACGTAATCTAAGTGCAGAATATCCTGGAATAGTGGAAACATAATGGTTCAGAATTCTGCATGGGGTATTGACCATATTTTTCCTGTGGTGCAGAAGTGCAGAATCCAGGTAGCCTATTCACCTTTTGGTGGGACATTTCTTTAAAGGGCTTAAAGATTTATTGATTTAGAAATGGTCCTCAGAACTGTTTTAAAAACATCGTTTTGAACAGGGATTGATGCCAGGCTTTTACTTACAGCTGCCAGTGAAAAGAAGTCCCCGGACAGTACCTCTGATTCGATCCTGGTGATGGAGTGCGACAACTCTGATAGCCGAAAGTATGACAAGTTGCACTACTGCCCATTTTGTTTGAAAGGCTTCAAGCTCAAGTTGACTCGTCACATGCTCTCAGTCCATAAGGAGGAGTCGGAAGTACAAAGATGTGAGATGATAAAAGATCAATCAGAACGGAATGCTCAGTTCGCATATCTCAGGAATCTTGGGAATTACCTTCACAACACTGATGTGATTCGCAATGGAAAAGGGACACTTGTTGTTGCTTATAGACCGCAAATCTCAACACCATACACTGACTATGTTCCATGTGAATATTGCCTGGCATTCTATGTCAAATCTGACTTGTGGAAGCATGTCCGAAGGTGTAATATGGCAACCAAAAAAGAGCCTCGCAAACATTCCCGTGTTGTTGAATCAGCCAGAATGCTGCTGCCGTCAGCACCAGGAGTTTCTGAGGGTGTGAAGGAAATTCTCTGTTCTTTGTCCCATGATGAAGTGTCAAGGGTGGTGAAAAGTGACCAGTTGATCCTTAAATTAGCAAACAAACTATACAAGAAACAAGGTCATGATAGGGACCAGTTTTCAGCAATGCGAAATACTCTTCGGGAAGTTGCGAGGCTGTTGATTAATTTGCGTATAGAAAGTGATCAACCCTCCGCTACACTTTCCAATTTCATTTGTACAACGAAGTTCGACCTGATTGTTATCTCTGCTTTGAATGTATCGGGGTTTAATCCAACTGACCATTCCATGAGGACACCATCGCTTGCATTGAAGATCGGACATTCTCTTAAAAAGTGTGCCAAGTTGATGAAAAGAGACGCTTTAAGTGCTGGTGACAAAACAGAAACCGAGAGGTGTCAAAACTTCATTGAAATGTATGAGGAAAACTGGACAGATGATGTATCCACTCATGCCTTGCGCCAACTTGGAGAATTGAAACGCAATAAGGTCAAGCTAATTCCACTAACTAGTGACTGTGCTCTGTTGACCAAGCATCTGAAAGATGTTGCCACAAAAGCACTTGCGAAACTCGAGGCTCTTGAAGATGTGAAGAACTCGTGGCGTGAGCTCATTGAGGCAACTCTCACACAGGTGATTCTATTCAACAGAAGAAGACAAGGCGAAGTTTCTAAGATGAAACTAGAAGACTTCAAGCAACTACATCAAACAGGACAAGAAGACATTACTGGGTCATTGTCACCTCTGGAACAAAAACTATCGAAGATTCTGAGGAGAGTTGAAATAGTAGGCAAGCGCGGAAGGACTGTGCCAGTTCTTCTCACTGCACATATGACAAAGTGCATTGAGAAATCGATTGAGACCCGTACACTTGCAGGTGTCAGTCCATCAAATCGGTTCATATTTGCTTGTTCCAACAGAAGCTCAGAAGGGCATATTAGAGGTAGTGACACGCTACGAGATTTTAGCACTTCCTGTGGGGCAAAATACCCTGACTTGCTGAAATCAACGAAGTTGCGAAAGCAAATCGCAACACTGTCACAGATTCTCAATCTTAAGGAAAATGAACTGGATATTCTTGCGAACTTCTTGGGTCATGACATTCGCGTGCACAGAGAATTTTATCGCCTTCCAGATGAAACTCTACAGACAGCCCGAGTGTCAAAACTTCTCATTGCAATGGAAAGCGGAAACTTCAGTACTCACCAGGGGAAAAGTTTGGAAGAAATCGTTGTAAATCCGGAAGAGGGTAAGTCTAATACTCTTTTAAGCTTTTGTGTCAACTGGGGACACTCTTGTACAAATCGTCGCCGTACTATGAAAACCACGTATTATACATTTTGCCCATTTTCGCTTCATGGTTTCAAAAAGAACAGAATTTCATTCTGCAAATGCTTAGAGGTCCCTCATTGTTGTCTAGCTATTAGAACGCCCCCAAATAAGCTTTATGTAAACATCGTATCTGATTTCCTCCAAAATCTGTTCAAAGTTGTGAAAACCTCGTATCTGAAATTTTTATTCAGAGGCTTTTCTGGAGAAAGTGCATCAATTCGTGGCTGTGTTTGAAAGGTATGGAAGGACCCCTGGGGACAAGGTTTTATTCTGGGTATTAGCAATTCCAAATACTCTACCGGCCTAAGGAAGAAATGCAAAATTCTTTAAAACGAAAACCTCATAAATGATTTTTTAACACTTTGTGAAGATACGAGGTTTTCATTTAGGCCTCTACTGAAAAACTTCAGATACGAGGTTTTCATAGTACAGCGACGAAATGTTAGAGAAGGGGGCCACCAGCATAGAGGGGTGTCAACTGGGGACACTCTTGTACAAATGCTAGAGAAGGGGGCCACCAGCATGGAGGGGTAATCCAATTGGAAAATAAAACCCTGTCAGTGTCAATGGTTCCGTTTTGTACGTAATTGTATGGAGTGTCCCCATATAGATAGTGCACCAAAAGAGTCACCATTGGCCAGGATTAAATGGACACTCCTGTACCATCCAGCCAACTGAGGACATAATGTACACTGGTCTGCAAAGATATTAGGACAGAGCAAAAGAATTCCAAGCCATTTCTTTAGCTATGGATGTTGACTACCTATGCTCAAAAAGTCATTCAGCTGCGACCTCGCGTATTGTCTACAGACCCCATTGTTCACTAGTGTCCAAAATCGTCCGCAAACAAGGCTATTCCATTTTCCTACAGCTTGTGAAAATGAAATTCCGGGTTGAAAACCATGCGTTTCTATTAAAAGTAGGCCCATGCTCCCCCTAAATACCAATAATGAAAGAATAAAGAAAAAAGGACACATGCAGAGGAGCACTTTATCCAAAATGTTGACTGCTGGTGATTAATGTATAACATCATAGGTATTATTCACAATCAAAAATCTTACCTTTAACCATTTTGGACACCGGTGAACAATGGGGTCTCTGGGCAATATGCGAAGGTGTGTGATCCAATAAACCATATTAGAGGTTAGTTAGTAGATTCTGATTTCAATTTTAAATCTTTTCAGAAGTTGAACTTGATGCAGAGCAAAGTGAAGGTGAAGATGTCAGTGACAGTGAAGGAGAAGGAGAAGTAGAAGCTGCAAATGGAGGAGGTGAGCAGCACTGATTTTAATCCTTCCTTTCAAAGAGATTTTGTTAAGTTAAAGGGGCTGTTTACCAATCGAAAATTGACTACTTTGGGTATTTTGGGTATTATTGAGGTAGCACCCTGTTGAATGTACCCATAATACAAGATGGTAGAGATTTGGCTCATTCATCTTTTAAAACCCACTTGTGAGTGTTTGGAGTATTTGATAAAGCCACTCCCCACAGCTGTAATGCCGGTTGCGCCCACTCTGTATTAATGCCTGTTATGGGTGCCAGAGTAAGAGGGCTCCATAGGGCCTGATATTGTCAGGATTTCCGTTAATACAAATTGTTCATCTTTCAGAGTTGGTCAAAAAGCGTGGCAAATGTCGACAGAAAAGAAATCACTTACAACCATCAGGTAATTTGATTTTTTAAAGGTTTTTGGCTCACCTGTGGTGACCCGTTACCATCACACATCGTCCGTCGTCGTCGTCGTCCGTCCTTGTTAGACATGCATGGCACGTTTTGTAACCGCTGAAGCTATTGAACTCTTACTTGGTACACATGTACCCCTGGGTGACCGCTACTCAGAGAATAAATCGCGGCCTTCTGTGATTCACCGTTTGGCCACCAGGGGGCCAAAGGTTAAAAATGAAAATATGCGTTTTCTCCCTTATTACTGGTCCGAAAAATTTGAACTTAGCTAGGGCGGGGGGGGATGAATGAATTGTGGAAGTGGCTGATCTCACCCCACAATCATTTATATGCAAAGAAAACTCCCTTTAGTTGAATGGGCCTACCGTAGGAAAAGTGACATACAAAAAAGTATTCAAAATCAGGCGCGGATACAGAGGGGGTGGACCCGGCATGCGCCCCCTCTATTTTGAAGAAAATTTTGATTTGTCATGCAGATTCTTTTTAAGATTTTCACCTAAAAACGGCCACCTGACCCCCCCCCCCCCCCGTTTTTGGCTTTGCGCCCCTCTTTCTTGAGGAGGTGGATCCGCCCCTGAAAATCTTGTCACATTGTGGCGCTATGCAGGAAAACTACCGTAGGAAAAGTGACATACAAAAAAGTATTCAAAATCAGGCGCGGATACAGAGGGGGTGGACCCGGCATGCGCCCCCTCTATTTTGAAGAAAATTTTGATTTGTCATGCAGATTCTTTTTAAGATTTTCACCTAAAAACGGCCACCTGACCCCCCCCCCCCCGTTTTTGGCTTTGCGCCCCTCTTTCTTGAGGAGGTGGATCCGCCCCTGAAAATCTTGTCACATTGTGGCGCTATGCAGGAAAACTTTTCACTGTTTTGCCAAAGGGTGCAATTGGAAAGCAATATTTTTATCTACTTTAGCTAGGATCACAATCCTTCTAATAAAGCTTTATAACATTCCCTGTTGGATTTTCTGTTGGCTATTCTGTTCATGGCCACAGAGTTCAAACTTCAGAATTTTAGAGCCTGCTGTTTCCTCATTGATAGATCAAAAACGCTGCCATTTTTCATGATTATGAAATGCTTCTTACTCAGACTATCCACCAAAATACTCAAAAGTATTTTTGCCTTGTTCGCATGGTCACTGATGTGAGTCCATTGTCCCTGGACCATTTCATTCAATACCACATTTTCAAAGAATATGCATCAAGAGAAAAGGAAGCATAAATTAAGTCCTGGAAAAATGACATTTTGTGACCATCTTTTCTCTATAAATGTATACATTTCCAGGTCAGAAGAATGATCCATGGACAGACCAGCAGAGGGTAGCTGCCAGCCAGTTCTTCAAACTGGATGTCATCCGTGGCAAGATGCCAGGAAAAAGGCAAATTGAGATTGCCCAGAAAAAGGAGCCATGTTTAAGGACAAGAAGTTGGCGAAATATCAAGGATTTTGTACGGTATCAGATTACTTCCAAAAAGAAGGCTGCATTGTTTTAGCGTAGATGGAATTTTATTTGGCGTTAGAGAAACTGTCTGACCTTACATTTGTTGTAGGATACTTCACACATGTAAACTGTTCCAACAAACTTCCTTTGTTTTCCCTGACAAATTACTTTTGGTGGCAAAACTTCACATCAACCTGCTCTTCAGGCCTCTAGGCAAGGTAATATGTCACCCGCAATGGCAAAACCATACTTAAGTCGCTCTGAACTTGGCAGGGTGAGACGGACTGGTTGTTCGTTTCCCTGTTGTCGTCCTTTTGTGAAACCTGACTACACTAAATCTGGCTCAGATTTCACATATGATGAGAAACGTTAGGCAGCCATCCTTCATAAAAAAGCCTTCATAGCTCAGAGAGTAAGACCGTCAGATTGTAACCAGAACTTCCCCAGTTCAAGTCCCATTAGAACCTTTTGAATTTCAGAATCTCTTCCAGAATTCCCACCAATGATCTGCATTGCCCTGTGGCTTGGTTGTTTTTGGAATCAATTGCATCGAGCCTTTGGGTTCCGTCCCTCTTTCTGGTAGTCTTCCATAGGGTGTTTTAGGCATTTGCATTGCTATTTCTTATTTTTGACGTATAGAGTGCTCTGGTTTTGTGTATAGGGCCTACTAATACAGTTCTGTGTTACTAATACCTCTTTTTTATGCATATATTGCATCAGTTGTGATGTCCTGCACTGCGGTGTAAATTGTATGCTTGTTACATTGTTAGTATGTTACTGTAATTATGTGTTTGAATACTAATAAGTATTCCCATATTTTTTAAATTTTGTTTGGATAACGAAAAGGTCCCAGTAGGATCCGTTTCTCATGTGTACTCTTGTGTGATGAAAGTTTAGTTGAGGTGTGACTTCAGTTAGAAAACAAAATACAGAAGTGATGAAATCACTGGTGATTATTTACATTATGTTTTACATGTATATGGTTTGAATTGGGCTTACTTAGTTTATGTCAAATACAGTTGGAAGTTTGGTTTATCATACACATGTTTCTTAAATGTAGGATTTGAAAGTACATGTAAAATTTTTTGTTTTTTGTTTTATGTATCATCCTGAAATCTATTCAATATGGACATCATGTCGAATGGGGACATCCCCATTTGGCGAATGGCATGATTAGCATCCTTTACTCACTCTGAAACCACATACATGTATAAGGTGGCAGTCAGGGACACCCATATGTCATTACAAATGGGGACAAACAAAAACAGTACATTTTGTCCCCATTTGTATTGGGTAGTATGGTTGTGCCCGCTGTAACACCCATAAGCAAGGACTTAATTTCTGCCCTATCTCTTTGGGGTATTTTTGTGTTTCACTGTAGAGCATGTACAAGTCCCGTTTGGACGTCCCATTTGGCGGGTGGTCACTTTAGGTATGGATAATTAGGAGTGCTGTTTTGTAGTATTTTGAAGCAATTTGACATCAGTGGTAAATAGATAATTTGAAATAATTCATTTTGAAACGCAAAGTGTATGTGCATCGTTCGGTTTGCAACCAATCGCACAATTCAAGTATATCTTCATACTGTCATGACTGTATCCTCATGTTTGTACATGGTGAAGTTAGACACGCCCCCAAATGCTGAGAGGTCAACCTGTTAAGTTATCTGATTGGCCCCCACACAAGCCAAGGTCCGCATGCAATGACGCCAAGGGTTGGGCGATGAAATGGCAAGATGACATTGACATGATTGAGGCCATTCAACAAACACCTTTCTTTGTCATTGTTTGCAGTGTCAAATGGGGACCACAGCCCACCTGGTCCTGTCAATCTTGGGACGTCCCCAATTGGCGAATGGCAATATCGGCACACTTTAAACTCATATCACCGTGTAAAAGTACGTCACCATTTGGCTTAATACAGTCCCCATTTGTCCGGTGTGGGTTCAACACATACAAGGTGAGGGTCCCCATTTGGCCGGATAGCACAGATTGCCAAATGGGGACGTCCCCGTTCGACACCATATACATGAATGCCATGGTATTGGGGGTGTGTCCTAACTTCACCTTACAACAGGAGGATACCATGTATTTGTGTATATGCTGTATCAATTACATGTTAGCTGAGCAACCTTGCAATTCTCTGTTTCTATTGTTGCTGTTGTAGTATTTTGATTAGTCTGTCATGTCTTTGAAACAATTCATATCCAGGTTAACATGAATAATCATACTTTTATGTTGGTGGTCCATTCTTCTCCAAGAATCACCTGTCAGTGATCTATGTTCATTTATCTTGATCCATTTTTCAGCTCATCTTAGTGTTCATGGTGTTAATTTTAATTGAATAAATAAAAGCTTAGGAAAACTGAATAACATGATTTGTTTTTCTTTATTGCGGCAATGGTTGGGTAAATGTGCTTAACCTTTTTCAGCAATCTTTTGTCCTAAATTCCTAAATCAAAATGATGTTTGGGTTCCCTCTAGGAGTTGGTTTCATTCTTTTCATTCCTTTTGAAGGCAGTCCTCGTTTGACTTAACTTTCACATGTGCTGGTGAGTCCCCATTTCCTAACGAAGGGGTTGATGAAAGGTGTGTTGAGGTGTGTCCCCAATTTGACAACAAAATACGGATTTGGTGAAATTGCATGTACTGGTAATCCAAGTTGCTATGGCTACTTGTAAATGATCAGAGATAATGCCTTTCAAACATCGTTGGCATAGACCTTTAAATAAAGAAGTCCCCATTCGGCTGCGATTATATCTCAATATACTGTACAATCCCCTCTTTGACGTCGCATGGTAGCAGTTGCGCCTCTAACGAAAACTACAGGTATGTAGTCTATTGAATTAGTTAGAAGCTAGATTTTCATGATTATTTCATCATTGGAACAGAACAGGACCATTTCAATAATAAGGGGTTATCATAAGTGTTGTTTGTGGTCTTAGAAAGGAGGCACCAAGCGACAGCTCAGAGGGAATTTTACCGTATCTGGATGTGACATCTTATTTTTATGAAGACAAGTTTTGACCAAGACACTAAGAGACAATATTGAATACTAATATATGTCAGTATATCTGGATGTGACATCTTATCTTTATGAAGACAGGTTGTGACCAAGACACTAAGAGACAAAATAGAATACGAATATACATGCATGTCAGTATATCTGGATGTGACATCTTGTCTTTATGAAGACAGGTTGTGACCAAGACAATAAGAGACAATATTGAATACTAATGTCAGTATATGTGGATGTGACATCTTATCTTTATGAAGACAGGTTGTGACCAAGACACTAAGAGACAAAATTGAATACTAATATTATGTCAGTATATCTGGATGTGACATCTTATCTTTATGAAGACAGGTTGTACCAAGACATTAAGAGACAATATTGAATACGAATATACATGCATGTCAGTATATCTGGATGTGACATATTGTCTTTATGAAGACAGGTTATGACCAAGACAATAAGAGACAAAATTGAATACGAATATGTGGCCCGTCATCACAAAACGAGTCGTCCCCGTTCGACGATATGGTAAGTCTCATTGACCCTCCTGGTTTATCCTATCCAAATGGGGACAAAATCTAGTCCTATTGGTATAAAGCCCAAAACATGACAAAGGTATAATGGAGTTGGTAGAAAATGCTCCTGTAGCCTAATCCAAATTCCAGCCAATCACCTGTTTCTCCATATGCACTATTTTAGTGTTTTTAGAAAACCACAAAGCCTCATATCGCCAGGCAAAAGTAGGAGCACTTTCTTTGGCAAATCTATATGCCTGCTGGATTTTGTAGGCAGTCCTAGTTTGACTTAACTTTCACATGTGCTGGTGAGTCCCCATTTCCTAACGAAGGGGTTGATGAAAGGTGTGTTGAGGTGTGTCCCCAGTTTGACAACAAAATACGGATTTGGTGAAATTGCATGTACTGGTAATCCAAGTTGCTATGGCTACTTGTAAATGATCAGAGATAATGCCTTTCAAACATCGTTGGCATAGACCTTTAAATAAAGAAGTCCCCATTCGGCTGCTTGAGACGCACGTCCCCGTTCGACACCATATACACGTATGGGTGGGTGTGTGTGTGGGGGGGGGGTCGCCTACAGGGCGCAAATCTTAATGGATTGACGTGAAACTTTGCACACTTATTCCTTATACCCTAAGGATGATCCCTATTGTTTTGGTGCATGCCCGACCGCCAGGGCCACACCCATTTCTTGTATTTGTTTGTTTGTCGTATCATCTTGAAACTTAGCATACTTATTTTATGTACTCTAAGGAACACCCCTATTTGTTTGTGGTGCATGCCCAACCAACAAAGGCAGAACCCCGCCCATTTTGTTTTTGTGTGTCGCCTACCGGCTACAATTCTTAATCGATCGTCTTGAAAAAATTTCATATTTATTCCTTATACCCTAAGGATGATCCCTATTGTTTTTGGTGCATGCCCGATCCCCCAGTGGCAGAACCACGCCCATTTCTTGTATTTGTCATTTACAGCCGCATTTCTTAACTTACCATCTTGAAATATTGTCTACTTATTCCTTATACCCTAAGGAACATCCCTTTTGTTTGAAGTGCATGCCCAACCTCCAGGTTTGTCGTTTACAGTCCGCAATTCTTAATCGATCATCTTCGAAACTGTTCATACTTATTCCTTATACCCTAAGGATGACCCCTATTGTTTTTTGGTGATTGCCTGGCACCCAGGGTCTGTGTGTCTGTGTTAATCGTATACAGACTGGAAATGTAAATGAATCATCTTGGAACTTTGCATATATATTCCTTATACTTTAACTATAGCAACTATTTACTTAGGTGCATGTCCCGACCCCAGGGGGTGTGGTACCATAACCACTTTTTTGTTAATTGTTATCTGTATATTTGGCAAAACAAATCCAACGCCTAGCCTGCTTTGCCTCTTGTCATTTTACAGTCATTGCAGCCATTGTAAGACTATTATAGAATTTTTGCTCTTTAAATTAATGATAGCATTATATTAATTAATATCCTTGTCTAATTATTAGATTCTCACATTGTATAGAAGTCATATTGTCTAATATGTACTTAAATCAAAATGAGTGACAGATTGTTACACAAAAAAGAGTTATAATTCTAGGTATAACAGATATCTTGTGTGAAATTTCTACTGTAAGTTTCCGCTATCCATATAAGGGTGGGTTTCGACGTCATTAGGCTAATTAACCAATCTCTAATTATTTACCTGATATTTGACCAATAAGATAATTGAACGTCCACACCCAAAGCTACAAGAATGTCATATCTTTGACCATTCGTCAGACAGCTTCATTCCAGTAGGAAAAGATGTAGCAATTTCTATCAGCAGACTCGCCTCTGGCTGGATGGGGTTTGAGAGAATGACTTTACTGTAATCTACCATGCTTGTATCTATGTATCCAGCTATGATATATGAAATTTAAAAACTGTCGCACTGTTATTCCTGGTAAGACAAACGTCTTAACTATTCAGATAAGAAGAGAAGCAAAGACGACAAGTGAAAATAATAGAAAATCACAAGGCCATTAAGATATGTAGTAAGAAATGATGCATGGGTTATACGTAGGGTGTGGCGACCGGTTTTAGTTTGTTGTCTGCGAATCATGGTACTACACCATTTTATATTTAAATCTCTTTATTTTAAAAAGTACCAGATCAATCAAAGCAGGAATGTGGACCTATAATGCAGCGTTAGCGATGC